CATTTGTACGATTAATGGCTCTGCAGCACGCGCGTACTAATTTACTTCTCTATTGCACTGTTAATAACTTCCGAAATGCCTTAGCCCTGCCCTCAAAGATCCAGGAAGCACACACCTTCTGCGTGGCATTCACCGCGCGTCCGTAAATATGCCTAGCTAACGGCCTAATCCTCTCCGGGATGCTGAACGCCATTCTTCTGGTCTCGAGACTTCCGCCGTCCCATTACCAGGCCACGACTAAGCTGAAAAGCGGATTTTGACGCCTCCTCGTCCTTCTTCCGGACGTTCGCCGTCGACCCTCTGTGGCAGAGTGTCCTGCAGTCGGAGTTGATTATGAACCTGGCGGAGATGCCGCCGTCCAGTAGGAGCTTTGCCATGGCGTGTTTCAGAGCATCCTGGGCGGATTAGGACTACCGGAGCAATCCGGGACAGTGCGATTTTGTTGGAAGCGGTGGGGGTGGTCGCCGGCCGATGGAGGGGTTTGAGACCGGGACTGGGGAAAATCAAGATGTGATATCTGCGGAATAGCGCCGAGGCGCGGGATAGCGGGGAGGCGCCGGAAGCGGGTGTGGCCGCGCCACCGCAGCCGGTGGTATTACGAAAAGAACGACACAGTGGTCAGTGCCGCCAGGGGGTTGGCGCGGCGACAGGCGGGCAGAATGGGCGCACTGTGGTAATTGTAATGTAGTTGGCGTTTACGTCAACCCAGCGCACAGTCTGGCTTTGGAAGCTGTAGTAAAGTTAAAGGCAATTACAGTAATTCCGAAGAAAAATGATCGCTGATAAAGCCGTTTATTGAAGTGATGGGACTGAAGTTGATCGATGATTAAATATGCCGAACAAACCATTTTATTGTTTGTTTGTAGCATACCTCAGCATTATTTGCGCACAAATACTGCACTGTGCACAGGTTAAACGCATTTAATGATGTAAAGCGATTGTATGAATCTTTAGTAAAAAAATAAACCAACAAAATTGAACAAATACGGCTGAATGCGCGCCCGCACAATGATCTTTGTGAACAACAAATGTTTTGCGAGCGCTAAAAGTCACAATGCGACCGCGAGTCGCAATAAAAGGCTGTTAATGTTTATCAGGCCATAAGGTCACAAACAAAATTAACAATCAAATCCCAAAAGTAGGATGGATTGATAGCGCGCTCTAGAGGGTGTGATTATATGGTAGAGGTCACGGACGCCGGCTGCTAACTGACAGCGGTCAGTCCAGACAGATGTGCAGCTGGCAGATCCTTAAACTGCTCGAGCGATGGTAGCAGAGGTAATGATTAATTCTCTGCGCTGTTACAGTATATTGAAAAAGCACTTCCACTACTTCTACAACTTTATTGATAATGCAAACCAAAACGACAAAACACGGGACTCAGGCAATAAACATATGGTAAGCACTATATGGTGGGAAGTGAGAACTTCTGTTTAGCACGCATATGGGCAAGTGAAAAATCTCTTTTAACAATTTTTCCCGTCGATGTTGACATGGTGCGCTGTCTCAGCTCCGTTTCTTGGATGGTGATTAAAACAATTTTGGATGCTTCTTTTGATAATTGCTCGGTGTTCGCAGCTCACGGCAAAGAAAAACACCTAAAACATGAAACAAATTAAATATAGGTAGTTATAGACACAGTCAAGAAGACTACAGAATACATGTATATACAATAATACAGTATTAGCAATACTGTTCGTATAATGCGTTTGCTGGTTTCCACACTACAATAAATTATTCCGAAAGCTGCGAAATTAGAACATTCTGAAACATTTCAATGGGCATTAGGTACGCTAGGATAAATTACCGGGTTTGCCGCATAAGCCATGACTTGCGCGGTTTTCGTATACATCGTCATTCTCGCGTTGGTGCTCCAAGATGCAGCAAAATAACTAGTCAAAACCGGCGGTGGTACGGTGCAGATACAGTACCATACGAATGAAGTGGACAGTGCTTTCGCGATAGCCAATCGTCGCTGCAGTATGATTCGTTGCCGTTCGCTTTCCCGTTCATCCCCTAATCGTTTGCGCAAGCGAAGGAAAGTGAAAATGGTGATGTACACACTGCCCATCAGCGCTTCCGGAATGTACGTTCCAAATATCGGCAACACAGTCATCGTGACCTTATCGAATTTAATCAGACCGCAGTTACCCAGGGGATACATTCCGTGAACAAACTTAGGATGAACATTAAGCGTCGGCATACTAATACCGAAAACCACACACCATAGAACAGCAACTACAATCACCGCAAATTTGCGCGACGACAGTTTCTTGTAGTGCAATGGGAAAGCAATGGCTGCCAGCCGGTTAAACGACAGTGCAACGCCCGTCCAGTTGCCGGCTACAATGGTGACCAAAAGTATGCAATTTACCGGGGCGCAGTCGTATGAGAAGAACACCTGCATCTGTGCATCTGTGTCAGGAAGACGGGCAAATTTGTGATCGGCATCGCTATGATGCAGAAAAATAAGTCAATGGTCAACGACTGGGCGATTAGCATGCCGGAGCCGGTTTTTAACTTGTGGAGACGGTGCATAGCGTAAAGGTATAAAAGGATTAGAAACGCCCCGGAGCAGCCGATGATCAGTAGAAGAGTGAACCAGATGGTTAGTTCTATGGATGACACTTCGACGGATGGTAGCGATGTTTCGCTATAATTAGCCAATGATCGCCGAAATGCAAACCGATGACTGGAGACATTCAACATTTTTTAATGGTCTCACAAGAAATGCGTGTTGTTTAGGAAGTTCAGATAAAGGTCACGGTGTATCTTTCAGATCCCAATAGTCCTGCAGGCAAAAGCGTACAGTTTACGGAAGAAGAGAACTACTGCAAGAAAAAAGCTTAGAGGCGTCGTTATTTATACTGAAAGCGTTCAGGAAATATACTAAATTGTGACAAATTTACGCAGGTATACATTGAAATGATAACAAGCTGAATTTCCTGTTTGTCACAATTAGAAGAAGCAAATTGTGAATTCCGCATCAGGCGTTGATGGCAGTGCGTGTTTGCTCCTTACAGTTGGTATTGACCTGCAATGACCTTACTTCGTGTCGCTTGGTATCATAATGTTACTTATGTAAGCACCCCATTTGGATTTGTAATTCAAGTGAAGCTAATGCAGAACATTTGATATAGATTGCTTAACGTTGCTTCCCTTCACAGTTCTCTGAAACGCTTACAAAAACTGTAAACATTCAAACAGAAAGGATGTTATTTTGATAATCATCTCAAGTGTATCAAATGTACATAATCAGCCGTACTGAAATATCGGAAAGAGTTAACCGGCATTGGCATGGTTGATTTGAGTTGTCACAAAAGAAGCTGAGGACGATGCTCAACCTAACGGCGGCCGCAAATGACACCGTTCTCTGTTTGATGGATCGCCAAAATGTAATAAGCCAACTCCTTACTACTGAATTCACCCAATCAATTTTTCGCAATACTGACTTAGGGTTTTTACACCACGGTTGCAACGTGTAATGAACACTCAGCAAATCCAGTTATGACAAACGGTATCGTATGAAAACAGAGTTGCAGCCTGGGTGTTTTTCTCGCGTAGTTGAGACTAAGCACCGGCGACCATGCAGTGGCGGAGAAATTCACTGTCACAGCGCCTTCATAGAGGTCCTGACGTGTGATTGTTGTCCAGTGAGCGGAACTCACAGGAGGAGAAAAGTCGTTCTCCGGCAGCGCTAAACTTCCAACCATCCGCATTGACCTTTGCGTCTCGCCGTAGTCAGGTACGGCTTCTTCTACAGAAAGTTACCAAATCAGGCAAATGAGCAGTCACAATGCAGGCGGTAAATGTGTTTCAAAGCGTGATCATATAGCATCCAGTTGTCTGGTGACGCCGATATCCCTCTCCACACGTGCATACAGGTAAGTCTTATTGTCTTCCAGCGTAACAATATTGTCTTCCAGCGTTAGGATCTTCACATTGCTAAATTCGATTAACGTGAACGGTTCTAGTTTGGCAATAGTGGTTGCCATGATGAACTGAATGATGTCCACCTGCGACATCCGCGAAAACTCGGCCTTGTTGGTTACCAAAAATGAAAATACCCACCTAACTCAAAACTTCGCAAATTTTGGTGAATTCCGGCGGCGTACATCTGGCGGTGTTGTTCGGCGTCTTGAGTTCTGTGTGGACATGAAATCATTAGCACCGGTTCAAAAATGTATGATGAACGGGGACCCAATCCAGCGAGATAAAAAAGGTACTTTGAAGTATCGATTTTTTATAACTTCAGACGCTTCGTGTTTTCTGCTAGACTGGCCACGCTTCTTCCCTTTTTATCTGGCAGGACGTAAACATTTTTAATGAAGGTTCTTCTTGCTTTTTGGTATATCGCACTCCAGATTGGAAATGCAGTTAAATTCATTTCTGTGGCCGCTACAGATAAGTTGCGACCAACATTTTCTCAGATCAGTTCTACTGTAGCAAATGCCAAAAGATGGCGCTCACGGTTAACCGATTCGCAAGGCCAGATATAAAACGGTCCACTTCAGATTTTACTCTACACTATTGCATTAATGTTATAAGTACTGCATTAGTACAGTGTACAATATTGCTTGGCAGCCGGTCGGAAGCTTGAATGCAAACGTTTGTGGAACTAGAAGGATTCGTAAGTTCGAAGCAGCCATGGTTTAAGTCATTTAGATTTCTTTCACAGTTGTCTTTCCAGAATGCGCTTGCAGTATTTAATAACATTCGAGAATTAAGGTCTGCATATTTAGTATACAATCAAAGACTAGAACGTGTCAGTTCAAATACTCCAGAAAACCGCATGTCGAAGCCAAGTGGCTAGACATTTTCAGCGTTTTCCTTAAGTGCGCGTGAGGTTTTTGCTGATGTTCCTAATGAAACCACAAAATTCTTGCCGCACAGCGTTTTACCACCACAAGCACCGTGCTGAAATTCCGCTTATTTATATAAATAAACCGTGCTACGTATACTCGTAGAAGTCGTATTGCTACCCATTTTGGTCGGAAGTTCAGCGCGATAACTTTGTGCATGCAAAATGCAATCGCAAGCTAGGGTGGTCCCGGTATTACTTTTGTTGACTGCGTCCTGGTGAGTATATACCGATCCATCACAAATTTGTGACGATAGACTTTGACCTTACTACAAAGTCATTAAATGATGTTTTCGGCCGCATGTGGTTTTACCTGCTGACCGAGCCTACAGGGCAGACAAGCCGCATCATCCGCAACCCGGAACAATCCCGCTAACACCAGAACAATTAAAGCACCAGCCGAAATTCACCGTTACTCACCATCATCGGGCTGTCGGTACGATTCCGGAATGCTTTGATGCCCGGGAGAAATGGTCGCAGTGTAAGAGCATCTCGGATATTCGTGACCAAGGTCGTTGCAGCAGTTGTTGGGTGAGAATTACCATACAACGCCGGAACGCTAGCTGTATCATTAATGGGCGAAAGCGATACAGGGTGATCTTTTAGGCTGTGGCATCGGCCAGCGTGTTGTCCGACCGGATTTGTATTTCCGAATTAGCGGCCGGTAAAGAACCCAGCCAGACGTACGTGTCGGCGTCGTATGTCGCCAGCTGCAGTTTTGAACGCGCGAAGAAGAACGGTCATGACAAGTGAGTACTCGATCACAATTTTCTCGATCAATCAGTTAATATGAAATTTTGCGTTATAATGAGCATATAATCCGTACTCTTATGATTATAAATCGATAGTATTAGTACTCTTTCTAATAACCTTTGTACTGTTTCAGTAATAGTTAAGAGTACAATTATTTGAAATATGAAACGACGTAATTTTTTGCGTTACATTTTTGTATTACTTGGTGATTATCGCATTATTAAAAAACAGCACTTGAGAGAGAAGTTTCTAACATGGCGTTGCTACAATGTAATACCAACTTACTACAGCTGTGTTACCGGAGGAACCCCGTCGAATTTCTTTCGATGGGCCGCCACCCGCGGCTATATAACCGGAGGCAGTTACAACAGCCGTGTGGGTTGTCAGCCCTACCCAGTTGTCCCATTAAACCAGCATGGGGCCAGCAACTTTACGTGCGCGCCCACCTGCACCAATCCAGATTACGACAGAAAGGCAATTGTCGAAGACACTGCTTTCAGTACGCAGTAATACAGTACAAAATAATTAATCGCGCTTTTTTAAGTACCAGAAGAGTCACTGGGTGTTCACCGCCTGGTTGTATTTTCGTAGTTGACAGTTTCTACGTAAGTCCTTTGGTGAACGCGTCTGGTCAAGAGGCCCGAACTCAGGAAAAGATCGATGCCCAAGTTCTCCGCATACAAACAGACATTTTAGCCAACGGCCCAGTTGTGGCTTCCATAAACGTGTATGAAAGTTTGTATAAATATAAATGGGACCCGGAAGCAGGTAAGAAAATTTTCCGAGAGGTAACAATCACGCGCAGCAAAACTGTCTATAACATTTAATGGCAAACAAGTTGGAGCTAGTACTAGTACATATTTAACTGATATCAGATTCATGGTGGTGGATCATGGATTATGCGGGACTACTTATACAACCCAAAATTACATATATCGCTTATTGTAGTTACCAGAACATAGTTAAAACTTAAAACCATTCCAGGTGCTTACCGAGGCGAACATAACCAAAAGGTCAAACCAACAACCACAACCCACTCTGTCCGTATCGTCGGTTGGTGCAAAGACGACAATGGCGTTAAGTACTGGAAAATTCTTAATTCCTGGGGTAAAAATTCCCGTGTGCCTGGTGGTGGTGAACTGAAGTTTGAGGTGGGGAAGAATGTGGCCGAAATCGAAGAGCGTATTGAGGCACCGATTGTTTCGATCCCCAGCACGTGTGCACCGATCTGTCAGTCCCGCATTACACAGATTATCCGCCAAAATCCCGCTGATTTTACCTCACCGATTTATGCTTTCTACGGTAAATCAAAAACAGTCCAGTGCAGAAAAAAACTGTTACTACTAAGTTATGGATTCTTTCAGGAAACTGCGTCATTAAAATCGGCGTGAACAACGGCGGTCAGATATCTCCAATCGATAAACCGCAAGCAATCGGCAAGGTTTTCGTCGCCGCTCCCGCTGGACCAATTGTAAAATGGAAGACTAACGGCCGCCAAAAGGGCGAATTCTTGATTATTAATGTAAGCTGATTGAATTGAGGAGTAAGTTGTTCCCAAGCCAAAGGCGTTCGGATATTCGACTCGTCAAGTTACTAATTCGACGGTTCTCAGGCAGAAGTTCAGTTTGAACATGCCGGTTTATAACGTTGCGATACCGAGGCATACAGTTCAGTTGTAAAAGGATTTTACCGTTATACTTTAGTATCGTGCATCATGATTTTATTGTACAGTAATATAAAGTCATATGTTTTTCAGCCGTTCGGTCAAGCAGGGGTGTGCACCCCGGTGAACAGTTCATCCAAATTCGACTGTTTTGCCGGCACAACGACCGGCAACGCAACAGCCTCCACCGTGGTGGACGAGGATTACTGGGAACTAAGTATGCCACTTTTTGCAAACAAATCTTTTTTGGCTTACGATGGAGTATTAAGTGCTGACAATGGAATCGGCTGCAGAGTCATCGCAACTGAACAGCATCTTCGTACGTTCCTCCGATTTCACTGAGTATCGTCTGAACATTGGCAAAAGACTGGCCAACCGGTTCACTGTTGTTGACACCATGCTAAATATTGACGGCCGTACGATTCTAGTTTGTGGTTTGGATAAACAAGGAGAACCAGCGTGCTCGACCATGAATGTAGCCGATAAAAAGGTTAGCGAGTTTTGGCAATAAAATAACGTTATAATAACACTGTAATATGCAGCAGCTAAGAAATAATATTAAGTGCAAACGCGGGCATACTAAAACGTTCTACTCATAATTATTGACGATTTATTGTAGCCCTTACTTACGCTTGATCGCGTTAGGACTGTAGGCTTTCGAATCGGTAATTGGTACGACGATTATTGACGATTAATTATTGACGATTTATTGTAGCCCTTACTTACGCTTGATCGCGTTAGGACTGTAGGCTTTCGAATCGGTAATTGGTAATGTACAACAGTACAAGTACTTCACTACTAGCAAATTAAATCATCCCAGTGTGTTGTACGCCTTTAATGCAGTGTGTTGTACGCCTTTAATGCTGTGCAAATACTACTTCAGATGCCCGTGTCTCCATCCAAGCCTTTGTCATCGGTCTTTGCATCCTGTCAACCGCAACCTTAAAGACTAGCGAATCCTATCATAATCAGTTTCTCTTGAGCAATAAAGACAGATTGGTATAATTATTAAATGGAGCAGTTGTTTCGTCAAACTTATGGTCGAACGGCCTCGTATGCCGCCGCTGTCTCTTTGACGGATCGAGGGAAAATGTACTAATAAGTCAACACATGACTACTTCTCCCATTCAATTTTTTTGCACTACTGAAACGACTTATACCCGGCTAAGCAGTACGTATCAAGTAATGAGCACTCATCAAGTCAAATCAAAACAAGAGATATTGAATGAAACTGAGTTCCAGCCTGCGTGTTTTTCCAGCCAAATTCTTGCGCACCGGCGACCATGCATTACCGAAGAAGTTCTCTGCGACAGTGTCATTTTGCAAATCCTGACGTGTGATGGTATTTCAATGAGCGCAACTCCCTGGTGCAGGAATATCGTACTCCGGCAACGCGAAACTTCCCACCGTCAGCACTTGACCTTTCCGTCACGCCCAAATTAGATCGGGTTTTTCTTCAGAAAATTACGAAACCAGGCAAATGGGCAGTCACAATGCAGGCGGCGGATGTGCTCGAACGCGTGATCAGGTAACAACTCCCTGGGGACGCTGTTATCCATCTCTGCACGTGTATAGAGGTAATCAGCAAGTTTGCCTTCCAGGGTAAAGATCTGCAGATTGCTTAGATCTGTGAAGGTGTACGGTTCCATTTCGGCAATGGTGGCTGCCGTGATGAACTGAATGCTTCGCATTTGTGGCATCCGCGAGAAGTCGCTTTCCTGATCGTTAAATGGCAGTGCCAGCCTAGCCGAAAACTTAGCAAGTGTGGCAGCAGTCCCATCGCCTACACTTTGGCTGTGGCATCTGGCGTGTCGCAGTACAGTATGGATGGTGCGATCACTTGGTTACGAACTGGTTCAATCACTGATTGTGTTGAACCGGGTGCAGCGTGCCGTCGGCGTTGTCGTACAGGATGAGCGCTATTGCTCCGGTTTGAAAGCTCGCTCGGACTCGGTTCACTTTATGTCTCTGGTTATTACTGTTATTTCTTCGTGATCTGTACGAGGACAGTGGAAAGCGTTGTAGTTCCTATCAAAGTGATCTCAACGGATGTCCTCGTATTTCGTCGTCGATGGCATTGTTGCAGTTGTGGAATTCATACTTTGAGCCGTACTTAATTTGACTGCAGCATGTTTACACGTTGAATGGCACACAGAATTCGGCTGCGGTGAGGCTATCCATGCGGAATGGGAACGTTAGGATGGGTGGTGCTAATTCTGTGTTACGTAATTCCGCGGTTGCGTTACAATCGGTTTCCCACTCATCCATCGTAACTGATCCCGAAAATGCGGCAAAAATATTTAGTTTCGAAGGCTAATTTAATTGTCTTTTCAAGCCTTCAACGCGCATCGAACTCTGACCTTGACATTTCCAGCGCCAGGAATATCCAGAGCAGTATAGATACAAAGAGCTGCTTTTGGCCAACATTTGTCACGTTTACTAAAAAAGCAGTAAAAATGACTTCGTAGTTCATCCTATGCGGCATGAAAGTGGCGACAAACGACGCAGCTTGCTAACCGTTGGATTTGTTGCGGTGCAAACGAGGGGCAAAGTATTTTAATTATAGACAACCTTCAATTTCCGCTTTGATAATTAATGTGCCCAGTTGCACCAAGACGTGCGTAAGCTAACACACAATGTTAATATAAGAACGACCCTAAAAAAGTAGAGTACAAACAGATATAGCCTATAGGGTAGACTGTATAACGATCCAAACCTAATCTGGATAGCGTTCTGGCTATCACCAGCAGAATGTTTGTTTTTGCAGTATGCCAGCTTACACGCTAACGTACAGTATACGTACCACTAATTTTTGCTAAATCTGAACTGAGTTTAACGAACCACGAACTGAGTGAAGGAAATGAATGTAGACAGTCTTATTACAATGATCCAAAGTCCGAATATTTTCTGTCTGTCACTACAAGAAGGCTCGATCTTATTACCTTCATAGCTAATCATGGTCGGGAATTCAATCAACTTTTTGTTTCTGTCATTGAGATGGTTGTGTAGCATTGCTAATGTCGGTAAAACGTCAATGTTATTGTTAGTTCTAAGTGAAACTGTCATGGGAGAAGTAATACGTACATAGTTTCCCTATCGAAAATTCAGTATAGAACGGTTTCTACTCGTTTGGTTTCTACTGTAGAGTGAAAGCTGGATAATCTTGCCGGCTAATCCTTTCCGACAATTATATATAATCATATATGGCACTTATATTAATTCGATGATCACCAAAAAGATCATCCTTTTAGTTTGTATGATCATCGGTTCTGCAAGCCTTCCAGAGAATTCTGTATGAAGAGTTAGACAACAAGGCATAAGCGTTCTTGCAACAACTCGTACAAAGATTTCCTGTCTGCCATGAACGCCGGATGCGGATCGACAGTCCATAGTTTTCCTGTAAAATGCCAACCCTCATCAGCTTATTGTAATATTTCATGCAAGCGTGCGCAAATTAAATTTGCGAAAACAAATTGATGCATTTACTGCACGCTGTCGATATAAATAAAAGATGCCTTTGCGTGTCTCTTCGGGCAGTAATTCTTTTTTCCGTGAATTCCACAACGCTATCTTCGCAACTCTTTACAACTGAGCGACACACCGTGACCTTCATCTCGACTGTACAGGAACACTCACCAGTCAGCACCAGTGCAGCGATTCAACATGGTGAACGTTTCCAGTTACCGGCTTTCATTTCGCCGACCATTGGCTAATTACAGTGCCACATCACCACCGGTACCGACTGTTGATGTGTCATCCATCGAACTGTGCATCTGGTTTACCGTCCAGCTGCTCATCGGCTGCTCCGGGGCGTTTCTCGTTCTTTTATATATATACGCCTTGCACCGTCTCCACAAACTGAAAACCGGCTCCGGCATGCTGATCGCCCATTCGCTGGCCATGGACCTGTTGTACTGTGTCATCGCGATGCCGATCATGAATCTCCCCATCTTCTTAACCCAGATGCAGATCCCCTTCTCCTACGACTGCGCACCACCGGATGCCATACAGCTGGTCTTCATTGTCGGTGGCAATTGGACAGCCGTTGTACTGTACTGTCGTTTAACGGCTGGCGGCCATTCTCCTCCCGCTGCACTACAAGAAACTGTCGTCACGTCAAGCGACAGTCATCGGGCTGGTTGTCTTGTGGATGGTGATCCTCGGTATCAGTCTGCCGATATTTAACATCCACCCGAACGTAGTACACGGTCTATTTCCGCTGGGTAACTGTGGGCTGCTGAAATCCGAATGTCATGCGGACCGTGCTGCCGATATTTGGCACATATATCCCGGAAGCCTTGATGGGCAGTGTGTACCTGACCATCTTTACCTTCCTGCACTTTCGCAAACCGTTGGAGAGTGAAGAGAACAAGGAGCGGCAGCGTGTCACACTGCAGCGACGGTTGGCTATAGCGAAAGCGTTGTTTGCCTCGTTTGTATGGTACTGTATCTGTACCGTGCCACCACCGGTACTGACTATAGCTAGTTATTTCGCATCGTGGGGTACCGACGTGCGAATGACGATGTATACGAAAACGGCGCAGGTCATGGCTTATGCGGCAAACCCGGTAAGTTTGTACTGGATCTGTTTCGCTTTGAAATGTGCCAAAACATTGATTGTTCAGAATTGAAACGTTTAAATAATGCAGCTAATGTGGACGGTGTGCAAACTTAATTTGTTTTACATGGTAGGGGTTCTTCTTTTTCTGGAGCGGCGAACACCGAGCAGTCATCAAGGGGAGCATTGACTACTGTTTTGGTGGCCCGCAAAAAGTCGAACCGGAGAAAGAGCAGCCAGTCAAAATCGATGAAAAATAAATCTCAGCACAATTTAATATGAATCGTGTGTTACATGAAGACACGGGTGGAAAACGAAGTTGTTCATTGCGGGCCGTCAAAACCCTGCTATAATTACGGGTCTTCCATAATTGCTACCTTATGACACTTATTCTCCAAATTCTTTACTCGCAACATATAGTATGTTTGATATGCCATAGTTGCAGGGGTCAATCAGCCATTAAAGATTTAAATTAAAACACAATCATATGTAGATTAGACGAATGTACAAATACAGTACATGTGCATAATTCTGCTTAAAGTTTGCTGATATTATAATATACCAGCTACAGAGTATTCTACAGATGAGACCGAGACATCAACGGCAATGAAAACTGGACAGTGACAATTTGTCATGATTTTATTTTTTTACTGCTACAAGTCCAATGGTTTTTCTTTTCTTGAACAACTTTCACTGGCATTACGGCTTTGTCAAAGAATTAATAAATCCCTTGCACTATTCCGTTAGTCTTCTTTCCAGTTCAATCAGGAGAACAAAGGCATAAGAATAAACAACGTTTCGATGCAACACCTGTTTTCCCAAAATCACTTTTACTGCGAGATATTTCTTAATAAAGGAAATATATAACAAGCAAAAAAACAGAATTCTCGGTAAATTGTAACGGCAGTAGCGCAATATTTAGTGGTCGTTCATGTGCGAATAATACGACTTACAGATGTAAATCTCCCGCGCTGATGATTGTTGATACCGAATTCCGAGAATTACCTTATCGTTTTCTTAAAGGCTGAAATTAATGAACTACGGAAGTGCTTGATAGAAATACGATCAATATATACATGTATAGAGTGTACAATTATGCATTACAACAAATCTGAATATCGTAAGCAACACAACAGCCCGCATATGCGCCGGAAACATGTATTCATTGGGATTCTGAGAATGATCAGTCCGCCATTTAATTCGACTTCACTTCGGTTGGCTGGCGGAATACAAAAGCGTTATTTTCCAGAATCAACGACAAGATACCACATTTTCACGTAAGAACAGAATTATTTCCCACTAACAAGCTCACCGACGTATTTTCCAGAAGCTTCTAAGAAAGTAAAAAATTAAAAAAGCACTAAAACGATCCAAATTCACCGTCTTTAAAAGCTAACAAACATAATACCACCAAAAACCGGTCACAACCAACCACCCGGCAATTACCAATAATTCACTAAATTATCGCTAATTCTGACTTCTTTTTTATTGCCCAAGGACGCCCGGTATGAGGATAAATTTCTGTCGGTACGTGCTGACTTGCCGCGCCACACCCGACTTACTGCGCTGCGCCAGAATGCTGGACAGCAGTTTGACAAAGGCCATGTTGGGATCGCAGGTTTCTTCCCGATTCACCGCCGCGATGACACTCTCGATCCAGTGCTTCGTCTCCGCCGGCAGCTCGGCTAACATGGCGTAAAAACATTCACAGCACACCTTCACCTCGGCGTCATGAGCGTATGGATTGCGAAAAACCTAACAAACAACAGAAAATCATGATCACGAAATTGTTTTTTCAGCGAAAACATGTACTAACAACTTTATAGGATGATTTGTAAAGCAGTTAAATATTTTACGTAACAGTATTTACAATTAGCGTCGGGAATATCTTCGAATTTTGTAATTTCATCATACTATATTAATAACAAATTTTGTAAAATATTCGCAATTTTTTTGCAGTTCATGCAATCTGCAATCCAGCTTTTGGAAACTCATTCTTAGCATCTGCAACTTAATTTTGTAATTTCATCTATCCTCTTCAAACACGAATTTTCTTTTCGAAGAAGTCTCGTAAAATCCTCAATTTCATAGCCATAAAACATGGCTTTAATGCTTTACAATAAGTACTTGGACTGTTCAGTGAATTTCTCATCTGCGCAGATATTTCCCGAAAAGTAAAAATACAAAATTTCCACCGGCGGAAACGGTTTTAATAATTATATGTATATACATAACTCGTTGTGATGCTCCCGTAATAATTTTAACATACCCGCAAAAATTGTTCAATAAATTTCTCTCCATAACTGGACACTACAAGAGTCTTGAAGTGGTTTTCCCCGTTCATCAGGACGGTTTTCGGCGGCTTCATTCGCAGCAGCTCCTCAAATAATACACTAATTTGCACTTGTGATTCCTCATCGCCACTCGGTGGTGTGCAGATTAATTTGGCAACTATAAAAAAAATGTGTTCTGCTTAATATTATAAACGAGAGAAACCAAAATTCCGAGCCGGAAACTGCGGCCAAAGATGTAAAGCGCACAAGTCCAGTTCGCAGCTTACCAAACGCAATCAGTTTCTCCCAGGGAACAGGCTGCAGGGAGAACAGCATCGGCTGCTGTCGAACAACAGGATAAATGGCCAACACGAACGGCCGATACACCATGAAATGGTCCATCCAGTCGGTGGCCTCCGACAGCGTCATCACAGAGTTAATCGTGTGCATCGTCAAACGGGCAAATAAATCCTCACAACCAGGACGATCCAGATATTTTGTCAGCAACTACAAAAAATTCAATGACGCCATTTGAAATTAACGAAAAAATACCTGGCAGGCAACGCAATCACAATAAGGAAATTCTTAAACTCCGGCAGTACTGTGACAAAAACGCACATACCAGAGGTCTTATGATAAACTGGGACAAATTTGTTATTAAACTGCATATACTAAACGAAGCTCGCCTATATATATATATGTTGCAAACATACAGCCCAACCAGCGGTAAAGCCAAATCGTTTTGCATTTTTATTGCAATTTGGGAAACACCGAGGTCGTCAGAACTACAAAAGATGGCAGTTTTTATTAAACAGAAAGGCAAACCATAAGTTGCAGAATCAACCACGAACCTGGCTGGTCAAACAGGACGAAAAGAATATTCTCAGAACTCATCTAGCCAAATCCAAAGCAAGCATTTTTACAAGCTAACTCAAATCAGTGATTCCCGAGTATGGCTCCAGATTACGAAGGCCACTATTCTACCGTCTACGATACCGTCTTTGGAATGGGTGAACCTCGCAATTTTTCATAATTGAATGTTCAATTCGAATAAATTTTTATGAAGTCAACCTTATTCAAACACGAATGCTTTAAGAGCTACCTAATTTCGGCTAGTCTAATTCGGATAAGTTCGGCTAGTCTGGCATACTTTATGTTTGCCCGTATTTTAAACGGTATAAATTTTTATGAAGTCAAATTTTAAGAGCCAACACTTCAATCACTGCACTGCATTGGCAGATACCCGTACTTTTAAAAAATTCTAAAGGTTTTATTAACAATAATGTAAGGCAAACGCAGTACGACGACTGGCTTACTGAAGTCTATAAATTTCGTACAAACCTTATGCGGGCAAATTTTTATTTTCGTTGTTTAAAATGCAGTTAACGTTTAAAATTAGGGAAGTTCCAAGTACCTCGACAATACACCGCATAATTCCGGCTGTCGGCCGTCTGGACAGACTGTTCTCCACAAAGGGTACCACTACATGCAGAATATTCCCGACTGCCGGTCCAGCGGCGCATAACAACGGCTTTATGAGATCAGCAAAGGTATCATCCACCGTCAACTTGGGATCATTCCAACCGAACACTCCCCGACTATGCAGCGCATCCAGTAGACGCAAACCCAACCGGGCGATAGCTTCGTACACCCGGTACGCGCCCGGCAGTTGCTCGTCTTCCATGTGCCGTCCGAGAGCTTGGAAAAACGCCGGAAACAGACTGGCCGTCTTCAAGAGGCGCTGCTTCTCATTCTGCAGCACAACAGCCATTTTATTCCGGAGACATTAACGAAAGTACTCAAAGTAATCGCCTCACCGCTGGGACAGACTGGAGCATCTTGTCAAACACATCGTACACGCCGTCGACTTCCGGCACAGCGTTCTCCGGCACGAGAGAGGCGATCATGTGTCCCCAGATTGCGAATAACGATAATAGGCTTATTCGGTTTCCCACTTTTCCCACAAGGTTCATCTGCAACAGCAGCAGCGAATCAACGATCGCAATATCGTAATAGCAAAAAAATATTACCATGAACAATTTATTAATAGCGATCCATATGTATGCGGATGCAGTTCCAGAACAGAATGGAAAAATTAAAAAGCGCTCGGAGCTACGAAAACGAAAAAATGAAAGCATAATCAACTGCATTTTATTTTCAAAATCAAACACGCAAATGAAGCTGAACAAGACATGAAATGCAGAACGTTAAAAACTGTAAGACCAGAATTAACAAAAAACAGGAAAATACGAGTATTAATTAAAATGCGAGTATTAACCAGACAGGAAAAATAATTTTCAAAATTCATCTGGTCGAAGTTATAAAACCGTTCTGAAACCGTTTCTTCATGTTACTGCATATCATCCGTTGAAGTAAACTGTCGTCTTAGGCAAGCGTTGCAATTGCACCGTTCTACGATATTTATCGAAGTTAGTACGAGGACGATGACTCAGAGTTTCAACTTTGCGAATGTGAAATAAAGGGGTGTTCGCAACTTCGCAGTACTGGGGACAGAAAATACTAGTCGAAAATCAACTGCATAACGGCGCATCGAGTTTATTGCTGAGTACGTCATGACCAGGTTTTTCAGAAAAACACTGTGCTTACGAAAAACCAAAAATACGCTTATCTTTAGATATAATACGCACAATTCGCTTATAATACGCTTACCTTTAGAACGCTTCACGACAAAATTATTAATAAAACTAGAATTCAGCCTATTTAAAATTTGCATTTTTTTCGTGCAAGTTACTTAACTTGTGCTTCTCTTTTTAATCATCCAGAAAATTCTAGTAAGTCCGTGCTTTTTCTCGCTTACATTTCATTAAGTGTACTGCTATGAACTTTACGTTGAGCTGACCAAACTCTGTATGCCCTGGATTTAGTCTGCTCTTTGAAAATTTAAACAGCACATAAAGAACCACAAACTATCACTAACTGATGCATTAGTCGTACCTTAATACATTCCGCGACATCTGCATAGCTCCTGAGCAGCTCTTTCACGTCCACATCAGCGACCGCCGTCAGCACCGTGGCACAGACCCCGGTTAACTGGACATCCTTCTCCCGCATCCCGTACAACGCTATGGTAATCACATTCTGCACAATGGCCTGATTATTCGTCTCCGCCAACAACGGGATCCACACGCCCATCGCCGCGAACGCCTCACAAACTACTTCTCGACTGGCCACCTTCATGCATTTGTCTAAATGCTCGAAGAGCGCTGTTATCAGTTCCGATGGGAGATGAGCGTTGTAGGAGAAGCGCAATAAATGGCATAACGCTGTCAATCGCTGCAAACATATGTTTTAATTTATACAAGCAGTTGTTAAAGGTTTTTAGAAATTTTATCAGCAGTGCTGGCCGAACTGCTTAATTTTATGCTGAATTAAATTAAATTAAATCAACTTTTTTTAACTCTTTGATGTCAAATTTTCTAGCGTTCTTAACAGCTGAAGTAAAACTGTTTAACAGCAAAATTAAATTAATGGCATTAAAATCACAGCAATCTCATCAAAATTAGCTTAATTCCCATTTGGTGAGTAAACACTTTTTAACCCGAAATTAACTTTCTTAAATTTTCCATGAATTTCGTAATTGCTTACGATTTGAGCATCTTTATGCTGCATGTTATTCAGACAGGCATCGAATTCTTCTCCAAACCATTCATACAGTGTGGTCCCGACAGCCGCTGCGAAGGCTTCCATCGTCAGTTGAATATCCGCACGGAAGCTGGCGAAGGATTCCCGCTCTTCCTGATTCCACTGTTTGATCATTTCCGGCGGGGGAAGACAGGCTTTCTTGATCAAAATACCGAAGAAAATCTTGAAATCCGGAAGCAGTCGTTCCGATACTTCCGAACCCGTTCCACACATTTCGTGGATAAGATTCTGAATCAAACCAAAAAAAAAACAGATGATCTGGAAACTTATCTTTATATCATTGCCAACCTCATCTAATCAAACTGGCAAACAACAAACGTTAGCTACGTTGGGTTTACCAGTGCAGTCAGTTACGGTGTTGTACCTGAACTGGGCGCACAAGGACACAAAAAACATTCAGAAATTAACAAAAATAACGAAACCAGTGTTCAAACCACCAAGCTTAAAAAAACCAAAAAAAAACTTCATGAACATAAATGTAAGAAACTCATGAACATTTCCAAATCAACGAGCATGTGTAACTATAACCAGCAAAGGCAACTGTTTTTCCGATCCACTTCACTACGATATCTACAACAATTTAGTCATCAAAAGGCAAACCTGAAATTGCCTGTTGCATTGTCGATTTGGCGAATAACAAAAAAAACATACAAAGGCAAAACACGACCATATAAAACAAAGTACCCATAAAAATTACACGAAAATCTGTTTTATGTGATCTAAAAATTTCCATTTAAACCACCTTCTCAAATGACAACTTGAATAAATAAAATTTTTATGTTCATCGAAATATTAGATAAAAATACTCTGGGGTATTATGCTACAGAAATCTGTCCTGAATTCATGACATTTCTAACATCTACACGCCCTCACCAGAAATTCCCTGAACGCCAAAATAGCCTGCTGCGAAAACCGCGCCTCCCCATCCCATCCGCCGTTCTTCTCCGGAAACGGTTCACTCAGAACACACAACCGCCGCACATACTCGTAGAACAGTCCCCGCGTCTTCTCGTCCTCGGAGCACGCCACCACAATATCCGCAAACTCAAAACTGAACTTCAACAGCACCCGGGCAATCGTCTCCAGATAGCTGTAGGCCGCTTCCATACCGCCTTCACTATGGACTAAGGTCTGGACGCGCTCATTCATGGGAAACTGCAGGATGATGCGGAGCAATTCAATCAGACTGTTCTGCAGTAGATGGATATCGGGATTCTGCAGCAACTCCCCCAGCGTCTCCACCGCCTGCATCTGCAGATCCCCCCACGGGAAGGACTGGCGGGCGGGGCAGTCGATGTACTGGGCGATGCGCAGCACGAGATGGCCGAAGTGTTCGGTGGGGGTGCCGAAGCGCTGGCTGGTCTCGGCGTACCAGTCGGAGAGGATTCGCAGGTATTTCACCTGGTGCGGCGTGTACATGTTCATCTGGGCTGCAGCAATGAAAGCCCGGATGAGCTATTTATACAGAGTACTACATACTCAAACGCAGCGAAGTAACCAGCGGCGAATCAGAAATGTCAATATTCAAATGAATTTTCACCAGTAATAATGTAACAATTCTGACTGACGTTGCGTATGTTTTATGGAGTTAATTCAACTGTTTCCCTTGGGTAGAGGCAATATCAATCGCCTGATAACATAAAAAATCAATGCGGTTATCTTATAGGAAACCGTTATAGGCACCCCCTAAAACCCCCGTTTATTATAGGCATCCCTTTTCACACCCCGTTTATTATAGGCACCCTTTTTAATTTAATTTAATTTTAATTGTTTATATAACAGATTTTGTATTCTCAAATAGTAATCCAGTTTTATTCGGATAATTCGGAGAATAGTACAGCAGTTTTTTCTGGCATCGAGTTAAGCACATCAGGCTTTCCAGCCTATAATAGGACGGTTAGGCAAATCAGCCAGCCTAGAACGAATTAGTATCGCGTCTTCTACTGTGACTAGAAGGTCATCTTTCGCGGTAGTCAGCTCATTCACTGCCTTCCTCCCAAGCCGTTTAGGACACCGTGTGATTTTCTCAGCCTGTAACACTTCGGCCAACCATTCCCTTTGAGCTGAGGCTTTCGCGAATACAGTGCTCGCTGGCGATGCTCCAGAGATCAGTTCAGCAATGTAGGAACACACCATCGGGCCGCACTGATTGGACCCCGGCAACTGAAGCTGGACAATCGGAAACACTGCGGTGACCGGATTCTTTTCGCCACCGTACAGCATGGACAGCTGCAGTTGGACGTGCGGCGACAGCGGAGCATTCATACTGTTGTACAAGCGAACTGTGTTCTCGGATGGCCTTTTGTGCGACAGTACAAAATGGTTTGAGCCATACAGGGCATGGATGCATTCCATTCCTGCCGCCAGATCATTCTGTATGCGTCTGACCTCCTCCGCGTCGGGATTGCAGATGGCAAGGTCGCCTGGATCGGCGAGGCCGGTAAATCGTCCTGGATTTCCTTTTTGGCACAGATATGAGAAGATGCCGATGACTCTGTCATAGAGCATCCTCCCAACCGCCAGGACATCAGCCAAGTCGCTGTCGTAAAGGTTCAGCGGCACTCCTATGCCGTTTTCACCCGGGCCCACAGTTTTGAGTTTTACTTGCTCCGTCACAGTCTGCAATGCTGGTGCCGCGGCGGGAAGTGAAGTGCGCGTGGATTTCACTTGCCGAAAAGCGTGATTGGAGCCGGTATCAGACTTGCGCTTTCTGGATTTTTCTGCTATATTGAGGATGTTGTTGAACGTTTTTTCTCGCATGTTAGCGCTGGCACGTGGGCGGCCTTTGGTCTGCTTTGTCTTTGCTAACTGAGAGCTGGCGGGTAGGTAAACTTCGTCTTTCCCATTGTGTTCCATTCTGTCCTTATCGCCGTTTTCTGAAGCTTTGTCAGCGCTCGCTGTACTTGTCACTGGATTTTCTAGCGATTCCAGGAAGTGATCAAGAATTTCTCGAAAACGGACTATTTCCGTTTCAAACTGCGCTGGCGAGAGTTCGGCCAGCCTTGCTATCACCGGTTTGCATGCCCTTCTTGCGTCATCGTACCGTTGTCTGGGATTCATTGGTTTAATCTCGCATACGTCGTCGTCTTCGAACGCCTCTGAGTTTGTCAGCATGGTTCGGAAAACTTAAGCTCGCGCGCATGCCGTGCTATGCATTCATCAACGGATACAATCGGCTCGCCTTTATGCTTGTGGACTGCCATCATGTGCCGGCAGGTCAGTCCATATGAGCAGGAGAAATCACAGTCGCAATCCAGAATGACTCTGCTGTTATCAGTAACCAATTCTTCCACTGCGAATTCTCTTTGTCTACCTTGATTGACAACGACAAAAGATCCGCCCATAATTCGCTCCACTAAGTATTCGGATTTCTTCATGATCGACAATTGCTTGAAAAGCAGACGACCACATTCACGAAAACGTTCGGATCTTTCACACGTATTTCGTTTAAAACGCGATTAACCATTCCCTCTTCCGTACGGCCACTACGGTCCACTTTTTCCGCTTTGTTGCGGACATTTTGTATATCTTGGGCTGTTACAGCTTTGCCGGTTTCTTTAGCAATTTGACGTTGAATTGCCCGTGCAGGGATGAATGATTTCTGCATTTGCACTACCTCCTCGGCCTGAACATGGCTTAGGCGACGATTTTCCGGTAGATTTTTCCACCTGTCTGCTGTTAATGGATGGTTATGGCCCATTTCTCGTTCGAGTATCCGTAGGACGTGGCCGCGAATGCTGGCTGCAAGCCTGACGCGAGCTGGGCACTGGTTTCGTCGGCTATGTGTAAATGTCCGAGCGCCAACGCCCTTCTTTTCGTATTCTTTGTGGTGCACGCATTCGTAGAAAATCTTTCTGTACTTAAGGGACGGCTCCAGAGCTTCTCCGTTCTTGAACTTTTCGGACCGACGTCGTATTATAAATGTTTGGAACGTCGCTTCCTGATACGTCTTAAAGTCTTTCTCGAATTCTTCAAATGAAGGGTATTCGTCCTTCAGGTCAGCGACGTTGTCGAGGGAGGGGAATACTAAACCAGTTAAGGCTTCCGATGGCCCCGACGCCGGAGGGCTGCTTGAACCCGCCATAATATGGTATTTGCCGGTATTGAGAACAAAATATATATGTATTATGTATGTACAGTATAACCCTGTTACACTGACCTTTTGTTCAAAGTCAGTAAGTTTTTACGGTCATAGCAACTGTATAAAATGATAAAATAAATTTTAGGAATATGTGAATTATATTTCTTTCACATAATATTATTATAACTTTTAATTCAAAAAAGGGTGCCTATAATAAACGGGGGTTTTAGGGGGTGCCTATAAGGGTACCCTATCTTATAACGTTTATCCGAACATAATGTACATACTCGTAAACTGAAGCATACTGTTATAATGGAGCTTAATGTTACACTGCACTACGAAATTATACAAAATGTGGCTGTTCTAACCAGTTAATAATAGATACAATACCAATGGTGCTTGCTTACTAATAATTTATCATACCATTAAAATCTTTACTAACCACGTGCAGAACCTATTAATACAAAGAGCAGCACCTACAATTCACTATTAATTCAATTATTTATTATACACATTATTTGTTATTATAAAAAGTAATAATCCAAAAAACCAATAATATAATAGAATAAAATGATTTTCAAAAACCAATTTAAATAAAAAAATCTTATAGAAAAATTATAAAAAATTCAAGATTGACCATAATAATTTGTCTTAATAACCTCCTTACAGTATTTACGATTTACTTTGCTGTTCAACGTGTTTAAGTACGATTGAACGATGACTAAAAGGAAATGACTAACTGAGCAGAAAAAATACATTTCACCATAATATTACAGTATTTACGCTGCAAGGAAAATATTTCTCTGTTCGATAAAATCATAATATACGACATGTGAGATTCAGAACGGCGGTAAACCCGGCTTATGAATTTTTGTCCATATATGCGTTACTGCAGTTCACGTACCATTGAGGAGCTGATTAAAATAATCCACAACAATCTCCACGCATTCCCACTCAGTCGACTCACTCCCTCGGTTCCGCAGTGTATTAAACTTGACGAACACAAAAAATACATTAAGCGCCTTGGGCGGGGGTTGGTGGGTCTCGAAAAAATCTGGCTGCAGCGCCCGCGCCACTGCCTGAAAAGAGTTAAAATTCAAACAATTCTGAATGACGATACTGATGAACGACTTAAGCTAATATGCAACATATATATAATACAAAACAAATATTTAGATTTTTTCCGGAAAAAAAATTTCGAGAGGGTAAAATAATTTTTAAAAAATCTCGTTGATTTTTTAACATTTTCTCAGTTATCTTTTTGGCTTGTTATCTTTTTTGTTTTCTCAGTTATCTTTTTAGTCAATGCTGGAATTTTTTATCGTTTTTATTTCAAAATTTAATCTCTTGACAACATTCAGTAATCTTACTATTTCAAATAATTTCAAACACGCTAAGGGCCAAGGCCTCTCTGACTTTAAAATTATTCTGATTTGAAATCTGAATTTCAAAATTTCGCAAGTCGCAAGTTGTGAATGCACCCTACGGTTCCTACCTACATTTTTAGCATTTTCAGATATTCTCGATTGTATTCCGTAAAAATCCTGTAATTCCCAAATTCAATTCCGTAATTTCCCTCGCTTAAAATTATTTCATTGATTAAAAATTTAATTTGTTGAAAAATGAGCTTCCATTTCTAGTCAATTCAAACATGCCAAGAGCTAAGGCCCGTTTAATTTTATTTAAAATTATTTCGATGAGAAATCTGAATTTTAAAATCTTAGAAGTCTCTCGCAAGCCTACCCGAAATCGCACTTTCCAGTCGGGTTTCATCCGCACCAGCATCCCCACCCCGGCCAACAACTGTCGACACACCTTCTCCGCCACGGGATTATCATCCGCCTGGTAGAACTGCAGCAGCAACTGCACCAGATGCTCCAGCAGCTGCGGACTCAGCTGGATGGCGGGGGTGTGCTCCAGGGACTGGGTTAGGAGATGCGCGGCGAACTGCAGCTGGTAGGCTTCGTTCGCATTGCTGCTGGTCAGGAGATCGTGGGCAATGTGCAGCCCGGTGGAGTGGCGGGGCAGGGAGATGAGGAAGAGATTCTCCTGCGGGGTCAGGGGTTTCCCGTGCTGGTACACGGCGGCGATGAGGGAGCGGACGAAGGCGGGGGTGTAGTATTCCGCGGGGAAGGAGGGACTGGTGTCGGATAGGCGCTGGAAGTAGGACATTGCGCGGCTGTGTATGGATGGATGGTGCTTCAGATTAGCATGCCATCCACGCGCGAATCAACAGTCAACACAACACGATTCAGTGACACGAGGTCTTCTGGACTTCTGACGATGAGGAGCCTGCTTCGACATGATCAGTCTGTTAGCGATAAGATACAGACAACTTCGATAGCCGAAATAATCCAGATTCAACAAGCAACAGTAATAAGCGGAATAATTACAGTTAAAACTTAAAAGTAAAACTAGCGAACTTATCACTTATGATCTTATCCAGCGAGTTCACAGATCATCATAATTTTGCATTTGAAGTGGTGCCTCCAAGCAGTTAGCAACAAGTTATGCAGCCGAGAACGACTTCCAATCTTGCACCAATCGGACTACAATCCAGCAAACCTAAAAGTATCTAGAATGAAAATTTGGCACATAATTTGAAGTCTTCTGGAAGGCTCATCTGCGTTAAAAGGTTTGAATCACTGGAGTCATTTTGCAGTGTTTGGAAACTGCAGTGGATTTATTAGCACAAGCCAGTCAAGACAGAGTAATTAGTGTAGTTAAAGAAACCGCCCGCATAAAATGAAACTGCAGTTAAAGAAAGACAGTTAAAGAAACTGCAGTCAGGTTGAAATTTACGATTTTAGAAGCGCACTTGCCCACAGGCGACTGGTTCCGTGGTTCGTTCCATTGACTTGCAACTAACCGGGGGTGGTTGGCACTGAGACAGAGACAGTTACCGTATAAGTTGCAAATTACATTATGAAATTTTTTGTATTTGCAAATTGACATTTTGCAAATTACGAGGTACGTACATACAAAAGATTTCATTAACAAGTCACAAGTGGCTTCATTTAAAATCGGTTTGCATAACAAACTCAAAACGAGGCGGACACAAATTTAGCAGGGGAATCAAAACGGATAAAGCCAATAATCTAACATGTACTCGCACAATCGTATTGTACTACTTACATTCCGTGTTGATTGCGTGTCATTAATGTATTACTGTCATTTTATAATAACCTTTTCATTTTGTAGTTGCCGATATGCTAGACTGTTCTGCAAAATGTAAGTGTTTTTATTAATAAAAAAAACCACGCCAACGAATTGCATACAAACTTCGTACTTAGCGAATACTGGCACAAGCAACAGTAGGAAGATCATCAACATTTGTACAGTAAAAATGTAAAACGACAACAGTCACAAATACAATACCCACAAACAACACAACAATAGGTATTTGCATTGATCAGATATACAGCGACAGAGAATAATCAATTAATCAACAAACATCCCAAAAACAAACTGCCAAAACCCGACGGAACTAGATAGAGCTTGTGTAATTAAATATAACTATATACAAAATAAAATCTCTAATTAAAGCCAGAAAAAAATGTTCCAAACAAGAAATCCTCTCCACAAAATTTCGAAAACGTATTAGAGATCCTACGGCTGGCTGGTGGTCCTTACAGCTTTTCGAAAGCCTGTATTCTGTTTTTGGTTGTGCCCGAACTGGCCTGCAAAATTATGGTGCTGTTATTTTTATAAAGTACAAAGCTGTACTGCAATAACGCCGCAGTGGACTGGTACCAGACAAGAGCATTACAAAACAGCGACCACAAACCTTTTGCAGTGTGTCAAATTTCTCTTTCCGCATTCCATTGATATTCACCGGTAAAAACGCGTTGAGATTTTCTTCTTTTTTGATTGTTTCCAGTTCATTTCGCAGATCATTTAACTGCGTTTGTAAATGCCGGCTTTTCTCCAAATAATCCATTCTACAACAAAAACACCGGGTATATTAACATTTAACATCACTTCAAACGGTTTTCCGCTTTACAAAAATCTGCTGCGAAGTGCATGAAACGCAATAAAAACTGGACATCGCTACAATAGTTTATGTCTGACCCGAATTTAGAGCTAATTCACATCAAAATGTCGGCCGCAAAATTCGATTACTCGGGGTCCGGAATATTAAGGCGCACGGCACGGCCTTTTCATTAATTTCAAGAATTATCGCAGTATAATGGCCATAGAATAACGCCCGCCATTCTCTGAACTTGACTGCAATTAAATTTACCGCTGAAATTAATTCCCATATGAAAATACAAAAAACATTATATTTTTTTAAAATATTAACGCGCTTGCCTTTTTTCATTATCTGGCGGGCTACTGCCCGTTAAATTTAAAATGAAACATAAAGTGTTTTCTTAAGAGTGCTTAATTTAAAGCAGTCTTCATAACAAACATACAAAGTTTAGCAAACAATTTATGGGGTAAATTGAAATGGAATAAACCATGTATAAATAACCAAACTGAATTTCATCCAAACAAAAAACGATCCTGACTAACAATAGACTTTCCCTTCAAAACGATTTCTCGACCAAACTTATTCCGACCTCCGAAGCACACCGAAATTTCTGAATGCATGTAATTATGTTTATTCATATACAGAAAACAAAATGAATACAACTTTTCGATTACACTCACTTTTCGCGTTCAATTTCGTGGGAGAGCTGCTCAATATTACTAGTGGAGCCTAACCGTCCGTGCTCATAATCCGGAACTTCCGGATGTTGTTCGATAGGGCGAAAGTATACCGGCGAGCGTGACACTTCCAGCAGACGATTACAGGCGATTTTCTCCATCATGCGCGCCTTGTTGAGCTCCGCCCGGACGCTTTCCGCTTCGTGCACGCGCCGCTCGGCTTCCTCCACCATTTTCGCGGTTAGCAGCTGCGCTTCACGCACTTTCCCTTCCATGGCCACCTTCTCTTCTTCCGTACGCGAAACGGCTTTTTGCAGCTGTTCAATCTGGATTTCGGCGTCGAGGGCTTTCCGGTTGAGCAAAGCAGCTTCTTCCTCGCAAACGGAAGCTTTTTTGGCTAAAACCTCGCATTCTTCTTGGCATCGACGCTGTAAAAAAACCACGATTGTCTGGACACTCTGAAAAACTGCTACAAAGACTGCCAGAAAAATAGCCAATTTACATATGTAGCACACGATTGATCAATAAAACAAATTAAAACATCAGTCTTAGCCAAGTAATACCTACAAGCTGTTCAGCCCTGTAAATACAAATAAAGTTCCGAAAAATAAATTACTTATACACAAATTCTTAAATTATTTCTTGAGCTCCTAATACAACAAAATGACACAAAAGGCATGCATTCGGTGATGTATCAATCAAGTAACTGTTTAATTCAAGGTTCAATTTCCTAAAAAAACATTTGCAGCTTTCGGAAATTTATTAAAAGGCTAAAATTATGTGCCGATTGACCATAACCATACTCTTTTGCTGGTTATGGAAGAAAATTCTCATACTCTGTTTTATACTCTTAGAAATGTATTCCACAACCACCTAGCTTTTTTTAAAAAACCTGCCGCCACAAACTGCAGTTTGTTCAGAGAAGACTGCACTCGTACCATTTCTTCATTGGCCATGCCGATTTCTTCTTGCATCTGCAAGACTTGTCGCTGCAGTTCTAGTTTTTCTCTTTGTAATTCCTCGCGTAACTGCCGTTCCCGCAGAAATTTCTGCCGTTCAATATAGCGTCGGGTTTTCTCTTCTTTAGCCTGCAGTTTCATCTGCTGCACTTCAATGGAATCGGGTTGTCGCCGACGTAGATAGAGTTCATGGTTGCCCATACACAAGTCCAGCATAATTTTATTCAGTTTCAGATCATGGGAATAAAATGAGAAATGCTCGCCTTTCTTCACCGGTCGTATGATAAACTGCAAAATAGGCAAATATAAGGGGAATAAGGGATGGGAAATCTGAGGGAAGTATAAGGGAAAATATAAGGGAAAACTGAGACTAGCGTGCTTGTACTAGCAAATCAGAAGCAATTCAAAACGTTCTTGGTTGCACCAATAATGACGTGTTTTATTAAATCGCTCCGTTCTGGGCACTTTAACTCTCTCCTACCCGGCGTAAAAAAAGATTCTATGCATTAGTATAGAAGTATGCTTATTAGGGAGCATAAAGTTGCCATAAACCTCCACTACGCAACAGGGCGCACATAAGTACTGAGCCGAAAACAATTCTGTCGCGCCGCTAATCTACAAACTGCTCACACCAAAACAACGAAACTCCAACATTTCATTGCACACTCCATTCAAACCGTACTTCCTTAATTTCAGTCTTAAATGAATGACAGGGAAGTACTTAGTCAGGATTATTACAATTTACAAAGCACATAAACAAAATGAAACAATCAAGGAGAATCAAAAATAAAATAACTGTCTGCATAATATTACTAAACCTTAGTAATATTATGCTTAGTAATATTAGTTTAGTAATATTATGCTGTCTGCCATACCTTCGTGTCTTCATACGAGACATTTTTAATATCCGACCAGGGGAACATTATCCGGGGTTTGCGCCGGTCATGTTTTTCATAGATATTCAGACCAAATGCTGTGACACCCAAGTCTACTTTGGAGTCTTTCTTGTTCTACAATCACAAGCTTGAAATCACTTTACTAAATTCTGATAACTTGCAGGTAACTCATGGTGCTATAAACAATCAATTTAACAACAATTAAAAAAATACAAACGCTCAAGCTAAAATGCGTCAAACGAATAAACGGTAGCATCATGTTTAGTCTGACAATTCACCGGTTCCCGGAAACATTTACTTTACCGAAATTTCAAAATAGGTGACACCGAACATCTCCAGATTCTGAGCAACTTTCAGATACTCTAGTTCCGCTTCCGTTCGGGACAGACCGCGGTGCTCGGACTGCCACTGCCGGATACGATTCTGCCATAATTCGCGCGATACCAACTGCGAATGGAATACATGTTGGGCAATGAGGTTCTCCATGGCGAACGCGTTCTGCTGCTCCATGGTCACTTCGTCAGCGTCACCCCACTATTGAAACACCGGCGGTTAAAATTCTGTCGAGTCATATTTCCCTCGCTAGTTCAATATTAAAGTGTTTTATAAATTGCGAATGTTTAAATTATTCAATTAACCTGACTAATCATGACCGAAAGCTTCTTAGTTTAATATTTTACGTATGCCGAGTGCGAACGACGAGTGCGAACTGGTACGTAATAACAAGAAAAACCGCAAAGTTCAGTTTCTCATGCAATCATTGCGCACTGTTTTCGTCCTACGATCTGCATAAAAATAAACGCATAAAAACGATTCCTTCATGGACAAAACAAAGATATTATTACAAGATCGTGTGAAATGTCAGAAATGAGCCAATATATAACACAGATTGCGCAGTAAGGCCGATAGGATTCCAATATTATGTAATGACGACGCCACAACACTACGTCAAATTATCAGCTGCAGCGCCGATTAAAACTTGACTCCGGATATTTTATCCACCGCTATTCGCATGCAGACAGAGTTATTGTTGAACATCGATAGTTTTTCCTGTACAGGTAGTTTACAGTACACGAATACACCGATCGCAGCAGTTAATCCAGCAGATGGTCGTACCTTAGCCTGGACATCGTACGAGGCCAGCAGAATGGCCTCTTCCGGTGGACAGGAAATATGTCCCGTCAGGATATCGTTGCGCACTTGTAGGAAGAATAAATGCTGCGTAATATCCTGGATGAGCTCTTCCGACACGTCCTCCGGATAGAAGCGCACCATCAGATGAAAGGTCCAGTGCCCGTTTTGTGGGAGCTTCTGCTTCATGAGCTGCAAAATACAGATACAGAGTATTCTTAACTTACTTCTGTACATAGTATTCTTAACTTACTTCACTGCCTTTGTCATTACAGTCAAAACAGAGAATTACGATTGAATATTTTTAAAAAAATTCCAAAAAATTCATAATAAGATACGATCATATGTACAATATATTCCTAGAAAACTCTCAAAAATAACAAGAAAAAGGCCACTAAATATTTTGAACGAGTGCGAACTGGTACGTAATAACAAGAAAAACCGCAAAGTACCAACAGTATGCCGTTCGTCCAACTGGTGGTGCCAAATAAATTGTATGTAATGTTGGAATTGTACAAATAAATTTCAAAAGGAGCGGAAGGGCAAAAATCGTCAAATTAATGAGGCAATAAATTCAGAATTTATCATTAAAGGTCGAAGGAAAAACATTACGAGTACATTGCCATTACAAATGGTTACATCGATTCAGTTTCAAAAACTGCACAAAAATAACAACTTCTCATTTTTGCCTTTACCGGTTTCTTTGGCTTGAGCCAGGTCAAAAATCCTTGTGCATCATAATACTGCAGTCCAAAATACCAGGTTTCGCGCAAACCGATGGCACGGCACACCAGCTCGAAGAGATCCTTTCCGGTTGCAGTTTTCTGGGAATATACAAATAACAAGTTACAAGTAATTAAGAAAGTTATAAGTAGTACCTAGTAGTAGTACTCGTATGTCGTAATGGCCAAGCAATTTACAGATTAATCAGGTATGAATCGTACGATAAAGAACGGTACCAGTATAAAACTTGTACAGTTGCACGCCAGCCAATATTTATATTTTTCACAGCTGTTTTCTAAATATAGATGAGACAGGACCGAAAAAAGCTTACAGAAACTGTAAATTCCAGTTCTGCATCCATTGTAACAACGCGAACTCCCAGGGAATTCTTGTCCATAGTGCGAAATGTCCGTGCCATTTTAGAGAATTCATCCAGATATTAAATAAGACCGACTTCAACCAATCGTCAACAGCGGTCCCATAGAATAAAGCAAAAAAGTTTTCAACAACACATCCAGTTTCACGGAGATATCATGTCCAAATCGTAAATGCAAACGTTCCGCCACATTAAATATTATCATTCCTTGGTACAGTTGGTAGGATAAAAATATAAAATTCAAAGAGAAAAAACAAAATCGCTAACGCGATCTGCGGAAAGAAACATCCACACAATTTACAGAATCAAAAACTGGAACAGTTCAACTTTCAAACTCCAAAATACATCTTAAAAATTTTTAAAGAAACAAAAAGAACAATTTTATCAGAAAACTGCAAAAATCTGCAAAATGGGAAGTTTGATTTTTTTCAAAAGCAGCAGCAACACTCAACAGGTGGCGAAAACTTTGACGACGTCAAAAGTTGCATTGATAGCAAACCGCATGTGCGCAATTGCCATTTAGACGTTGCGCCTGGCACCACCAGTTGGACGAACGGCATACCATGTGCATGCATTCTCCCGCTCTTACCCCCTCCACCCTTACTGAGCATGTCCGTTTCGCTACGAGACGTTCGATTTTACAGACAGCTGGATGCCAAAATCATTCTTGGCTTTTTTAACTGTGATTTTTCTTTCACCGCGCGCGTGATTATGATTTAAGGAGATCTACCTCTTACCTGTAAGCCAGCTGCTTAGGAACATGGCCCAGTACGACGACGGACCCAGTTGCTCCTACAGCACGGGCTACCCCTCGTCGTCCTCCTCCATCTCCGCCAGCCCCATGAGTACGACGGATCCCGACGCGCTGGCCAAGCTGCAGAAAATCGAAGTGGAAATTGAGAGATGTCTGGATAAGTTTTCGGAACGCGACAAGCGCAAACGCGCCGTGCTGTTCTGTGAGCTGCACGATCTGATCACGACCGCCACGGATCTGCGAGTGAACCATCTCATGTGGAACCCCCTGACGGCCGTGCGGACCGCCAGTCCCAAGCGGAAAGCGGAGCCCGTGGACTGGGGCCGGGCTAATCGGAGTATGTTCCGTGATCATGCGGAGGCCATGAAGAAGAAACCAAAGATGGCGCAGCGTGCGCCGCGACGCGGGAAGCAGACGAAGAACGGGACGGACGCGGCGAAGCCTGCAGAGGCGAAACCCAAACGGGCGAAAAAGGCAGCCAAGGCTCCAGGTACTGGCAAAGCCGTAATAATTATTAATTATAAAATATTATGTAATGTACACTTTGCAGAGGCAATGCATCATGATGCTCTGATATGATGCGCTTTTATTCCTGATCGAGATTTGCATGTTTAGGATTTTTAAATGATTGTAGCTCTTAAATCTGAGATTAAAATTTTAATTACCGTATTATAAAAAAGGGAAGACAAGAGGTCTGTGTTCTTTCAGGGTTTTTTTAAACAGCGTTTTAAGTTGAACGTTTTAGTGGAGCTGTTGTTGTTGAAATGCCACAGCCGTAGTACTTTGCCTTTTAACCCAAGAAAAGACAGAAATTTTAGAAGCTTTCTGTGTGAACTTTGAGTTTGGCTATTACGTAATGACAGAAATCTTGCCAAGCACCGAAGCACGGCCCCATTACTGCTGACTCGCTTGTTATATGGACGGCTGTAAATTGTAACTAGTTGCCTAAGGTCTTAAAATCGTCTCTTATTAAGATAATAATAATGAAAAAGTTTTCGTTCACGAGTGTGCCACATTGCTGTACCGAATTAATAATAGCTGTACCGAATTAATAGAAAACGTAAAATCAATAAAAATAGTTAACGAGATACGAATGCATGCTGCCGCCATGCTCGTACTTCAAATTGTAAATATACCTGTATACTATATAATTATATGTACACTGTACAGTACATTGTACGTATCTGTACAAGTACATACCTCATAGTGCATATTCTGAATGGCGCTAGTTTATTATTATTTATTATTACTATTATTACTACTGGAGGTATAAACTAACTTTTTAGGTATAAGTTATTGTAACTAAATTCTAAACATTTACCTATTTGTGTACCTGAATATAATTATGTGCGATTTTTACCATAGCAAATAACAGTTTATTTGCCCACGACATCCCAAATCGGAATTTCTTATGAAATTATTATTATTGTTATTATTTCGTATGAAATTATTATCACTGGTTGCTGAGGTGCAAATTTTCCTTACGTTGTCCTAAAACCGTCACGATTACTCGTATTACTGCATGGCTGCACTGATAATTTATTAATGTATTTTATTGATTTGTGGGGATGAACGCCGCTGAAATTTACTAACAAAAAAATTATTAAACAAAAATTGTGTTTCTAAGACGTGCAACGTGCATTGCATTGATTTTGCTGATTTTTTGTACTTTTTTCACAGCTCGGGCGCCTTCCATCATCGAGATCCCCGTCGTGCCGGACGTGCCGCCGCCAGCATCGTCACCGACAAAACGCGGGCGCCCGAAGAAAGTACCGCCTCCTCCGGCGCCGGTGCCGCCTCTTAATGTCGCCCCATCCACCGTAGTCGCTGCCGGCACAGCGGGGACCGGCGTGGTGGGCCTCATGGATATTGCGCTGTTGAATACGTTCGCCCAGAATGGACCCATCGCCAATGGAACGGCGAAACTGCAACCGGTAGGCGTCCATCAGCGGCGCCGCACCAAGAAGGTGCCCTTTGAATCGGATGAGCCTTCGGATGCTGCACCTGCACCAAAGAAGAAGAAAGCCAAGATTGAGGAGCCCGTGTACTGTATCTGCCGAATGCCGTCCAGTGGTAAAATGGTGCTCTGCGATAATGCCCACTGTGAGCTGAAGTGGTTCCATTTCACCTGTCTGCGGATGCGTAAAACCCCGCCCGGGAAGTGGTATTGCCCCAGCTGTCGTCAGGAGGGGGATCCGTCGACGTTGAAGGTACAGGCGTAACGAGATCTCCGCGTTGAGCACAGTGTCGTTTGGATTCTATTGGTCTCGTTCTGTAAGTATTCTGTTGACTAAAGAGGATTGCTTCAGTGTTTTTGTTTTGTAACGGCATTCCAGATTGCGATTGAGATATTTAGTGTGTTTGTTTTCGCCGTAAATGCATTTTGGAACGATTATTACGTGTAGTCAAATATCTCTTGTTGGAAAAGGGGTTTATTCTGTAACGGTTGTATTACTTTGAACCGCTCTGGATAGAAAAGAAAATGATTGGAATTTAGCTTTGTATGTATACAATAAAAATGACGTACTTATATGTGACTTAGGTTCATTCGTAGGTTGATTGAAATTTGAAAACAAGCAAAATGATACTCGAAAACTGCTGCATTGCTTATTAAGTTGCGTAGTCACTGCACACTCGCCCCGCTAAGCTAACAATAATTATTGTGTTTTTGATCGGAAATGACGAAGTATGCGTTTGATGTCAGAATGATGTTGACTTAACGACCTGTACAAATAAGCGGTAAATGTCACGTACTTGGTCCTATTGGAATCTATCGGAATCGCTTTCAGATCTTCGCATTTCGGGTAACACGCGGGCGTTCGTATAATAAAAGCACAGGCCTTCGATTCGATATTCATGCTATCGAATAATAATATTTAATATGTAACGTGAGAGCCAAAAACATAATACGATCGACGTGTAATTAAACGGCATCAGAAACTGTCTAGGTATACATAGTTATTCGGAGCGTTGGCTTGGATCCTGATCCCCTTTGCTCCAGAACACTAATGCGAATAAAGACCATGAAAACACTGGATAGTTCGGATGACCAGTATGCATATCGCACGTACAAAATATTTGCATGGCAAGAACGATGCCTGAAGCTATTTGGTATTCTTTACAATCCCAAAGAAAATCGGTTAACATTTTCGAAGATCTACAGTTACCTCATGGTTATCTTTCTCCTGGCTGGAGGAGTGTTTTGTGCGACGCTCTACATCGTCTACGTCGTGTGGGTGATGGTCACCACGGATGCCAAGAATCCGTTCCTCCGCATGTTGGCATACATCCCCTACGCGTTCGTTAATATCCGGGCGGTGTACGTGGTGTTCGTCTGCTGGAGGAAATGTCGTTGGTGGTTCCGCTTTCAGCAGCGGGCCAGCGTAATCCTCAGCTGTCATTCGCGACCCGATTCGCTGTCACGGCAGATGCGCCAATGGCAGCGGCGGTCGGTCGTCGCTGGTATCGGGTCGTTTCTGGCCGTGCTGGCTTTCGAAGTTGCCGATTGGCTGCGCTGGTTCGATCAGGATCCACGACACTGGGATATGTCCTATACCAATGCCCTGGAACCGCTTCCGATATGGTATCCTGTGTGGTTATACATAGTCATCTGGAATGTGTTTTGTGCATTTTCTTACTTTTTATCACAACAGCTGTATATTAGTCTGGTGTTGTACGGGTGTATTTCTAAAGCATTACTGAGCGATATCAAAACAAATCTCAGGGCGGAAAGTAAAGAATTTAATTCCGATAAGATGTCATCACCTCTAAAATGTGTCGCCGGGACAGCGGACGCTGATTATACTAGCCTTTATGAGCGAATAAAAAAATCGAAGATGCGCTATATGGACATCTTGACCTTTTCACATGACCTGAATCATACTTATGGGAACGCCCTGTTTGTCATTTACGGGATGGATTTGATAACGGTATGCGGTTTTGTTGCGGCTGTTGTGGCGAATGAGGAGCGATTTTTATCGGCATATTTGGCTAATGCCATAAGTGTCGTGGTGTTTGGTGCGTACCTCTGTTGTTTGATACCGATGGTCGGAGCGTACGAAGAGGTTTGTCGATCAAACTGGATGTCGCAATGCTTCTCGTGTTTCTCGTCATGGGACATGAATATGCATTGTCTGCCGTAGTAAAATATCAATGGTTCTTGCAGACCGTAAAAGTCAATTTTGCCCTGCACAAGCTCATGGAGCAGTTGCAGTCCGTTTTTGGAGCGTTTGCTTACCAAGTACGTACTGAACACACACCATGAGTGGCCCGTCGCCTACGCTGATCACCAAATTTGGTTTGTACATTGTGCGGTTTTCGTAGAAAGAGGGACTGGAGTCATATGTTGCACATTTCATTACCCTGATCCGAGATCAGCCAGTAGTTTTCAGTGGAGCCGAGCTGTTCCACGTAACCAGAAGTTTCCTTGCCGGCGTAAGTGACCTCGAGATTTTTGTTATCATTTCCCTAGGCCGACAATACCTGGCGTGAGCAATGCTATGAAAATTTGATTGACACTGTTCTTGCAGACGATTACATTTGTTATTTCCTCTGCCATTGTGCTTCGTGAGGTTATGCAACGAACCGAAGACAACCATCAAGTTCTCGCGACCTGCAATCCTGTTAATACCACTGCGGCCCTCCTAGCGTCTGCAGCGAACTCATCTTGGCTTACTGATTTTTGTACTAACTCCAATCATACAGCAATCTGAAAATTTCTTAATTTTTATAGTTACAAAACTTTTGTGTCCACAATGCGATTCTGTACCTCAATGCCGTTTGTACCGTAATTTAATTTAATAACCACACGTGCGTCGTGCGGTACGTACGTGTATCTGTATTTTAACGAATTCGAGTTAAAATACAGTAATGGCTGCACTTTACCATAACAGTAATAGGTAATTATCACAGACAGTTGCGGCTGGTTTGCTATTGAAACCATATATTTGAAAAACACTCAACTGGCAGCGTTAGAAAGTTGTAATTTATAAAATTTAAACAGAGTGCAAGGTCACTCGTTCCCTTAAGGCCAGGCATTGTGTGTCAAAGACGCTCTTCGTGTCCATCGTCCGAATATCCACTGTTGCGCCTTCCTTGTGACCTTATCGATATCGGTGTGTGATTTTCAGATGGGGGTGTCTGAGGCAGATTCCGCACGTTCAGTTGCATCGGCGCCGGCGGAGCGAGATATTTCACGGATACGGCGTTCGGTCCGGTGCTACCGGACAGTGAGCGGCGTGTAGAGATGTTGCCGTCGGAAGATGAATGGCGCAGTGCTACTGGAGTTCGCATTGGAGATGGCTGACAGCAGCGATCCTGGACGCATTTATCATCCGAATCTGGACAGGTGATACCACAAAATGCCGGGTCTAATCTGATGTTGTCTTGGTAATTGCTGCCCACCTGCAAATAAATTCGTTAAAAGCAACAGAGAACTGTACATAAAAGCGGCAGATAGGAAAGAGAGAAACAGACATCGTCAAATTCCGGCTGTATTGTGGTAGAATGGATTCCTTCGTTGTGGAAAAATTGTTTAATGCGGTTCGCCGCACGCTGGTATTCCTGGTAATCCCGACACCAGATATGTGCAGATGCGACAATCTTGCTGCCGGCTAATTGCCAAATATGCAATTCGTGTACAGCAAGAACACCATCAACCTGATCACAAACATAAAATCATTTATTACAACCTTAGTGAAAACTTACAGATAAGTAACAGCATTGCATTTAATGTTTAGCCTATCGGGTGCATAGTTAAATAAACTGTTACCTTTTCTAAGCGTGCTTTGACATCCTTCGCCTTCATATGCAGTGGAACGGTTTGCAACAGAATTAGTGCCGATGACCGAACTAAGAGTAAGAAAGTAAAAATACTTTAAAAACAGATATGCGCATATTACCACACCTTTAATTTGCCAAAATGAATTATTTTAAGAACGCAAAGTACGAGTGCTTACGTAATGGAATCGTCATGGACAGGATGACTATCACGCTGACTAAACTGCAATCAGGCAACCTCATTATTAGTGTATATTAGGTTATCAGTTATCGCCTATCGCAGTGTTCGACTAATTGTTAACTATGCCAGCATCATCTCGCAGTACCTCAGTGCGGGGTCAATGTAGTGTCGGTAATCCCAGTCAGTCAGCCAGATGACCAAAGCGGCAACCATGACGATCACCGATCCCAGTGCATCACCGGCAACATGCAAGAAAACACCATGCATGTTCATCTGTGATCCACTTTTTCCTTTCCCTTCAAAAGATTTGGTAATCTTTATCATACACTTCAGAATTACGGATGCAATACAGTGTATAAAATACCATTGGGCTTCTTGTCTGAATGATCGTGGTGATGGTCATGACCGTGGCCGTGGTGGTGGCCATGGTCGTGGTGACTCTGGTCATGTGCGACCGCAACTGTCGTAGTTTGACCATCGGACTGAACCATTAAATCTTCGGTGTGAATGTCCCCATCCGTATGACTGTGAATGTGCGAGTGACCATGTCCATGATGATCATGATCTGCAATAATTCGTTTACTTAGACTCCACATTGTGCAAACCAGAACCAGTAGCACCGCACAGCATTAAAATTATTTTCTGAATAAGTAGCTTCAAATATTATTATGAATTCTGCTCAACGTCCACTCATCTCGATATATCGCGATACATAAACGTACATCTGGATATATCGACGCAGCCACAAGACTAATGCGCTTCATTATTTAAAAATTAGCATTATAACTAAAAAGCTCTAATGGTAAGCAGCAGTACTTTAATTGTGAACATGTCCATATACAGCCGCAGTGCACGCCGCACTGCACGGCATAGTAGCTGCTTGATCATTGTATGTTGCAAACCATAATAATGTTTTATTAATTTTGGTGTTACTACAATACATACTTATCACCATATGTATCTGTAGAGAGTTTTTTTCGTGTTGAATATAAATTGCATTCAAATACAACATATATGTTCTTTGATCAAGTACAACACATGCAATATGCACAGTATATGCATTCCGGCAGCGGGAAATCTTAAGGAAATGAGCTACATTTCCATAACGCTTGGAGATGACGTAATATTTACCGGCAAGTTAAACAGAACTCCCCGCTCACTGAAACTTCAGGTACCGTACACAGAAGCAGTTTATAGGTTAACTACTGTATAAGGACCATTTGTTATCTAACGGCTTACTATAAAAACTATGAGACATATTTGTATTGTGCTTGTGTTTTGCTCTGTCCTACCGTGAAATAGGACCAATCCGATAAGATTAACGGCCAATCCGACTCCGCCCACGATGAGTACCAATTCTGGGTTCTCGACCTTAACATCCTCCGTAAATCGCTGGATGGCTTCAATAAAGATGGAGAAACACAGCGCACACAAAAACACCGCATTAACTAATGCTCCCAGGACTTCCATTCTGGCCCAACCAAATGTATTTTTCTCCGATGTTTTCTTGGCAATCTGTGTTACGTAAGAAGGTAAACCAAAACATCACGGGAACAGTTTCTCCAAGAGTATAATTTTTGAAATTTACCCGCACGGAAAAAAGCCCAACAACCAACGCCATAACATCGGATAACATGTGAAAAGAATCGGCAACTAGTGCCATGGAATTCGTGGCGTATCCGACAACTAATTCCACCAGGAAGAATCCGCCGGTTAACACCAACATGGCCGAAATTCTTACTGATTTTCCGAATTTCATTTTAGCCGGATTCTGGTAAGTTTATCAAATCAAAATCGGCACTCGTATATGACTTCCAGATTGTAACTTGCAAAAACACGCGGGTGACGATTGTGATTGAATCGACCAGGTAAAGATTTCCGTAAAGTCTCGTCTTGTAACACTTGTATGTATTTCGAGCTCTCTGTCATGCTGGATTAGGAAGCCTATACACTGAAATACATGTGTATGTTATCTTTTTATGAGTTTGACGAAATGTCTTGATAAGCGCTGATGTTTCCCATAAAACTTCCGTTATATGTTTATCTATGCAAAACAAGAAACGAAGAGTGCTGTGTTGTGGTGTATTTGTGAAGAGGTTAAATTCCAGGTGTTATCAGAAATATAGCTGATTGGATCAATCATTTGTAGCGGGCTTAATACATTATAGATATAGGTGAATAGCAACAGTATTGACATATCTACAGATCGGTCCTACCTTTTGACCGCGACGCAAAGTAGCTTTTTCGCTTGGTTACTTTGCTGGTTGATTTCCGTAGCATTGTCGCCACTGTAGAGTACGTACTCGAGTAACCAAATTGGGTAACAATTATAAGCATTTAGATTCGTTGAGTGTCAACTGTGTAGTTGTAAAACCACGACCCTTGACGGCTACAGTCACTGTCCTTAGAGACGACAGAGTAGACATTTTCCGGCCGCAAAATCGAGCAGTATACCTCTACCAGTTGTTTTTAAAACAAAACCATTTCACCGTATCAGCGCCAGTTAGCCAAAATTGCAATGCGGATCGATTCCGCACCTTTCATGCGACATGATCTGAGTCCTGCAGTGTACAGCCAAGTGTAGTATCGATATGCTTATTAGACATTAAAAGGGCTTCATGCAACAACCCTTGCAGTCGACGAGGTGTCCGAGTATATAATTATTTATAATACCGCAGTTATACAATACCGTTGTAGGATGCACAAAATGTCGACAAACGGGTTGCTGACGGTGGGCGCCCGCGGTGGACGCCGCCCGATCCCCGTCAGTATAAATGTGGCGAAATCTGTAGTCGTATCGGCACAAGGCTGGTTCTTGACCGTTACCTGGCTGGATCAGGGATGGGTGGCTGTTTCGCTGCAGGGGGACCATCGCTTTCATTCCTAAATAACTAACGGTGAACTCTCTTCGTTCTCGCGGCTCTGTTGTTGCTGCTTCGATATGGACAAGACCCTCCCGTGCAACTGCTCGTCTCCTGGACCGGGTCACTATGGCGCTATCGTATAGCTCGAAATCGGGCCTAATGAATGTATTGATACGATGTAGTCCACATTCGATCAACTCATCTGTTTGCTCTTGTGCAAAGAATTTACTAGATTACTAACGGTTTACTCATCCTGACGAAAAAAATTTGAAATTGGCTTATTACATACTGTCGAAGTATCTTCGGCAGACAGTTTAAGAAGCGAAGACGAGCGGGAAAGCTTTCTCTGTAGCTAATTTTAATCACTAATTCTGATTCTGTTTTAACCAATATTCCGTAAATCACAGTTGTTAAGACATCATCTACTGTTTCACGATGTGATAATGTCGGTTCTGACAATGAGACAGATACCGTACGCTAAACTGAAACGGTGCTGATTTAGTGGAGGCGCGCACAAAGCCGTCGATACCGCATTTAGCGCGACACTACCGGAATGTCGGCAAGTGGGTACCGCCGTTCGCTTCCGAAATCACATGTAGCAGTGGTGTAGACTGACAGCATCGGTCCTTGGCGCATTCAACATCGGAATCGGGACAGGGTAAACCGCAGAATGCCGGGTCTAGCTTAATATTGTTCTCGTAATTGTTGCCAACCTGTGAACGAAGTACGGTAGGTATTGTACATACAGTATACGTACATGTAGTTTGAAAACTGAATCGGGCACAGCATCAACAGTACCTCATTGAATTCTGCTTGAATTGTTGTAGAATGGATCCCTTCGTCGTGAAAAAACTGCTTGATGCGACTGGCTGCGCGCTGGTATTCCGGATAACTTCCACACCATACATGTGCGGATGCAACGATTTTATTTCCGGCCAACTGCCAAATATGCAGCTCGTGCACAGCAAGAACGCCGTCAAGCTACAAGCAAACCTTAAGTTGCACTTCGAGTTCCAGCGACAAACTCTTTTATGTCGACTACCTTTTCTAAACGTTCTTTGAGGTCCTTGGCTTTCATATGCAAGGGAACAGTCTGTAGCAAGATCAGAGAAGATGATCGCACTGCAAAGACGAAATGTTCTAGGTTAAATTAAAAGGAAGAGAAAATTTTGGGTTATTCGTACAAGCGTCGACCTGCTGATGGGTTTATGTAGCACAACAAAGAGCTCAAAAGTTCGCGAAGCGGTGTAGCTTACGCAACGGTATCGTCATGACCAGAATGACTACGACGGTAACCAAACTGTAATGCCATCAAATTATTGTTAGAATATGATCATGGTGTTGTCATGACGTGCTTCCCGTGCTTGGAGTACCTTAGTGCAGGATCGATATAATGCTTGTACTTCCAATCGGTAAGCCAGATGACCAGAGCGGCTATTATTACAACCACCGACCCCAGAGCATCACCGGCCACGTGCAGGAAAAGTCCATACATGTTCAGATGTGATCCACGTTTTGCTGTAAAAGAATGTCGTCCCTTGTATAAATAAATAATTAACTGATACTCGCTGTGATAGCTACCTACTTTTGGCTGGTTGCTTCTGTTTTACATTATTCGAAATACGCTGATTACTATCTGAGAATGGCGACTCAGGCGGAGTAGGAGATTCTTGATTATCTGGCTGGATCATCAGATCTTCGGTGTGAACGTCACCATCAGCATGGCTGTGAATGCCATGAGAGTGACCGTGGCCTTGATGCCCATGACCTGCAATATAACGCATAAAGTATACTTAATGATATCGATCTTAATCATGGTCGAAACTGCTTTCAGAATTTGCAGCTCGTGGATTAGCGTGGGGTAATGGTTATATTACATACTGGTAAAACTAGGATACACACTAATCTTGCTTGGTTTTCGATCTATCTTACCGTGAAACAGCACTAGACCAATAATATTGACGGCCAGTCCGACTGCGCCCACGATGAGTACAAGTTCTGGGCTTTCAACATCCACATCCTCCGTAAACCGATGTAGAGCTTCCAGAACGATGGAGAAACATAATGCACAGAGAAAAACCGCATTGATGAGCGCTCCTAAGACATCCATTCTGGCCCAGCCGAATGTATTTTTCTCCGATGTTTTCCTGGCAATCTGTGTACAAATACCCCGCACGTCAATTTAAGGACAAAAAAGGATAATAAATTGCCAGAGAATGGTTTTTCGTAGCTTACCCTCACGGATAGCAGGCCGACGGTCAATGCCATTACGTCCGATAACATGTGGAAGGAATTGGCAACCAGCGCCATGGAATTCGTGGCGTACCCCACAATCAACTCCACAAAGAACAATGAGCCGGTCAGCACCAGCATAGTCGAAATCCTCACCGTTTTTCCAAACTTCATAATGTTAACGTTTGAAAAACAGCTTTTCACAAGTCACCGGGTGTTGATTATCTTGCTACTGAAGGCAAGTTGCAACCTGTGATCACGCAGTTTCTTCAATTTTTACATCGAAAAAGTTTGTTAAAGCCCACGCGGCGGTACATATGATACCAGGCATCTGTACCGGCCGGTATGCCCCAGGGCTCTCGAGGTGTGCCAAATTCGGCATGTATCGATGTTCATCCAATCGCTACCGCTTTAATATATGCTATGATTACTGTGTAATATTTCGACAGTTATGCACAGTATAGCGGCAGTTACCGCCGAGTTTTTTTCCTACTTGCATAGCAGTATAGGCATAAATTATTACAGGTAGGGCATTCTGCACAATTTAATACAGTGTACACGTGCAAACTTGCCATCAGACTTAGAGTACAAACACGTGCAGATAAATTGATGAACACAGACCGACATAAATTATAGTCAAAAAGAGGGAGGTATTTCTTAAATTTATCACGCTATTTCCTGTCCAAAGGCCAACCAGTCTGCGGATGCATTAAACGCAAATGCTAGTATTTCACATGACCGAAGAGAAAATGCTTCACTGTGTCGTAGTGTTTTATTTACTACTGTATTCGCTCGCACATCTTGAACCACAGAGTCTGTGTACGGGAAAAACGCGCATTCAATATACACACTCTAACCGGGCCAAATGCGCGATTCGCGATTTGATAAATTTCTGATGTCTTTGCAACATCTGCTCTGGAGAACTTCTTGAATATTAAAAAAAATTAGAGCTCTAAGAATTTTTAATCATGCTTATGCTCGAAAGCAGCCATTAACATACAGCTTTGCCGTAAGCACGAGTTACAAACTGATTTGTTGTGGTTTTTGGGGTGCCCCTGGAGGGGGAGGGGTACGTTCAGCGTCAACATTCTTGATGGCGATGAACCACAGACAATTCGAGCTTTCAGCTAGAGAACCTTTTTTTCCAGAGTGAACTGCCATTTAAATGAAAAGTCTTGATTTATTGGATAAATTCACAAGAAGAACTGTTCATCTTGAAACCAAATGAGCAATATTTCGTAGTCGTGCATTTTGCCCGGTTAGAGTGTGTATACTGAATGCGTGTTTTTCCCGTACACACACTCTGTGGTTCAAGATGTGCGAGCGAATACAGTAATAGTCGTAGCAACTCACTTTTAAATACGAGTAATTTGACGATGCTGCCACACAGGGCGCAAAACGTACCGTACAATACAAAAACCACCGTATAACACGGTAAATTAAGTCGAATGTCTTCGAAAAATGTCGACAACTATCGCGGATTTTTAGATTTCTAAGAAACCAAAGTCACGCTATTAACCTAACGCGCGCTAAATCACGCAGATAATTACATAAGCAAAGAAAGAATAGGGATATTTACACAGACTAGACATAATAATCTTGCACAGCTCCCCCAGGTGGTGATCTGTTACGTACTGATGCAGGCTTTAAATGGAATCGAAAACTGCTTGAATAAGGATCTCGGGAAGATGGAGTTCGATAGCAATTTGAGTGACTGTCTCTCCTTTTGACTTCTTCTATTTAATTTGGTCTTTCTGTTTCTGGTCCAGAGCCTGGAGTAAAGGTCACTACATTACGGCTTACCATAGTGTTAGTCGGGAAGACATTGTTTCGTTATGATTAGTTGTAGTTGTAGTTGATCAGTAAATTTTTTAAAAATTCACGCGTCACGCTTACCTTTGGGCCTTTGCCGCCGCCGGAAGGTTTGCCTGTTTCGGTTCCAGCAAACTATAATACACAAAAAGCTTTTAAATAATTTAAACTAATGCTGCCACGTTATCAGATTTTCTCAATACAAATAGCGAAGGTCAACAAAGCTTTGTTTTGTAATGTTAGCAAATATAAATTTAGTTTTTATATGGAGTTCACAGTGACATTTTTCTAGCTATATAACGTAATTCCGAAAGATTTAGAGGCTATTCATCTTAAAACTGGAGTACCTACTTCTACTAGTTAAGTTTATAACTTACCACAAGAGCCAGAACGACGATGAAGAGAACAGAATATTTCATCAGATTCATGGTTGGGTAACTTGGGTTGCGGCAGACCTTGCAACTTGCAATAGAAGACTCAAAATTTTAGGAAGGGCTAATGGCACGGATTTTCAAAGCGGTCAATGCTCGCATTTTATACCCTAGCTTGGTAATGCTTGTTGTTTATTTTTATGCCCTGACAGTTGACAGCTGGGGGAATTTCGATGCTTCATTCATACTTTTATTAAGTATTCCCGGCGATTTGCTGTATAAGTTACAAAATTGGCATTGTTTCTACTAACAAACGATACACGAGGCTCTTTTGGGCGATTTGCAAGACAATGTTTTTCCATTCAATGCGCAAGTAAAACGCAGACGGCCAAGTGTGGCCCTAGGATGCTGAATCACTTTGTTTCTCGACGAACAACACTTAGAAACCCGTTATTAGTACTACTCGACACGCACTTTAAATGAGTTCTGTAACATAAAGTACCGGAAGTTCTGTAAAAGTGAATCTACCAATGGTACAGCACTGAATCTTATAGAGCGTTACAGAGCAACGAGACCATTAGCGTCAAACAGTGCCCAGTTACTGTAGCCGAATTTGCCAACAATTCATGTATTTTTCATTTCAATTTTGCAGCCGTTCCCTTTCTGTTTTTCTGACATTTCAAAGTTGTGGTATGTTGAAGAAATCAAATGACTAGTGAAAAAGCGAAAGACAACTTCGCACGGAAAGTACGGTGAGGTGGAATTTATCATTCCTCGCAGCTCTGCGCTGACGGCTATGGCGAAGTTGCCATCGATACAAATTCAAACATCATGAACCATGCACAGTCTTATTAGGCAGCTAAAAACAGTTAACAAGCAGAACTGGAATATTGTTTCAATAGAAACAATTAAATTCCCGCTGATTACGCCCTCAAAACTAAAAACAGGATTTTCGACGTACGGGGGCTGAGCATCCACATCAAAAAATAATTTTGACTTGGTAAAAGTACGAGTTCTGTATCGTAACGGAGCCAGGAGAGTTCCTTTTAGATACAGAACACTTTAACTCGGGCGTCCAATCAGAGATAAGGGGTGGTCACAAAATATTACAGAACTTCCGGCTCTGTATCTTACAGAACTCTTTTAAAGTGCGTGTCGAGTAGTACTATTGTTGCTTGGTTTTGGCAATATTTTAATGAACACGTTTAATCTCATTGGTTTTTGAAAAAAATTTTCATTTACAATAACATGTTTGCTAGACTAGTCGAAGTATGGTTCGAAAAATGCCGATTTTTAATAAAACTACAATACTATAGCTTATCGTTAATGTTGTTACTCAATAGCTATTTCGCATGCTAACCAGCATTTAAACGCGTATGTTGTTAGCTTATAACACGTCGTTGTACTTGTACATATCTATATACGCAAACCAACTATGTCCAGATCGCTTACAACCTGAGGCAGTTTTACTTCGCTGTTAATGTTATTTTGATAAGGGATGCAGCATTAAGAGGTAGTTTGATGACTCTGATCATCGATGCGGCCCAAACGCGCGGGAGAACGGTGAGGAGAACGGCACACCATCACTGTGGTACTACGAGGAGCCACTAGAGGCTATGCGCATGTGCTCCAAGTTATAAAAAATGCAGCATCTGTCAAGCGGAAGTCCGCGTGCAGTGCCAGCAACTTTCCCGGTCAAATTTTCAGGCAAACATTTTTGTGCAGAACGTGGATATCGTGGGTGAAAAGGACGCCGCGATAAAGATCCCGACGAGTATTAGGAGGTAGAAGATACTGCTAGAATAATAAACCAGCCGTGATTGTACTGTATTGTCACGGTGCAGGATAGCACAGTACAATGGCGGGTTTATAGTTGCTGATTTTGTCGGCGATTGGCGGAGGCCTGCAGGTTATGGAATGAAGCAGAAAGTGGATAGAGGCAGACTCATTTCTTGTCAGACCGACCTTCTCGATTTTGTGCATCGGCAGGAAATGGGTAGCCATACCTGTTCATCGTAGAAGGACAGTCAAACTTTCAAAGACATAACATGCAATATTAATGTCTCACAACATACGATTTCCGTAAGGCTAAAAGATGCCGGACCGGACTGCAATGGTGCACACCGTTGTAGTACTTATCTGTATTTCCTACTAAATCTTTCGTTTCGACGGAAACTACGTAACAATTCTGTGGTTTGCGGAAAAACCGAAGAAAGAGGAAACTTTTGCACGATACAATCATTATGATGTATAATTTCTATGCGTGTAGACGTTTTATGATCGTGCTTCCGAGTGTAATTCGAGCTCTTACTGCAGTTACAATGTGTAATTAGAAATAAAGAGAACCAAACGACATATCCGCATAAAACATCAATATCTTTCCCTGACGAAGCTCACAAGCTAGCAGCCGAAAGACCTTTCTTGCTAGCGAAACTGACATGCTGTTTTAGACATGCACATCCCATGTCTAAAACATTCATATCCCACTTGAGGCCCACGTCGAAGCTGCCGGTATTAGTCCACTTGTGTTTAACTTTATCCAGGCCTGACATGATGTACTCTGTACTCGCAATTTGCGAGCATTTCTTGGCATATCACAGAAGCGCTGAAGCATTAAACGTCGACGATGCTAACTCTTATGCGCAACGTACTTGCCAGCTCTGCTCGACCCATAAATTGCCAACACAGCAAACCCGGGAGGGAGGAGTCCAAAAACTGAGACAAGCTGAAACGACCCCAGCGAAATCAAGGGGTTAGAGAGGTCAGCACATGTCATCTACTACGATTGAGCATACAAGGGGGGATGTGTCAAGAAAACGTGACGGACTGCGACAAGGGAAAGGCGGAAAAAATCGAGACTCTCGGCGACT